CTTCCTTGGTCTGCTACTTTGGGGGTCGACGTTGTATAAACCTGATAATCTTTATGATGTTTACTCAAATGGACCATGCTCACACACAGCAGGTGTAGATTTAAGCCCCGCACAATTTTACTTGCACTTGCAAGGGCAGATATTGGAACAGTTCACATCAATATACATTAAATGTACTTTGTATACACCTGAAGCCTGGTCACAATGATTTTCATGGCGCTGCGTTGTCCACTCGCTTTTTATATCCTTATCAGCTTTACAAGGTTTCAGTGGATGTCCTCGAAGCCAGCTAGTCTCACGGCACTCCTGGCCTTCACAGATATGGTTCATGGGCATCTTTTTAGGATAAGAGAGTGTTTGAGAGACGATTGTTTGATTTAAAGAAAAGAATGCTAGTACTGTAATAATATATCCACAACTCCATAACCTCTGACCAAAATCCTCTTTTTTTTTTGCTTTTAAGATACTAGAAAAAGCCAATCACACAATCAATGTGACAGCTTCATGAATGAACAAGTCTGTCCTTTTAGTGAAAATAAATAAAATGTCCAAACATCAATATGCATGTGCATTGTTTAATGTGTATGTGTGTGTGTGTGTGTGCAAGGTTTATCAAAAGATCGAGAGCTAAATGTCTGAGAGACTTCCTGGAAGGAGGGCCGTGTGCTGCAGGCTTCAGCTGCAAAATGTTTGAGTCGCCAGCTGAGTCTGAAGGTCAATTTGATAAGAAGAAAAAGAAAGAGCTGACAGGATACGATGATGTGCAACTTCTCAGAAATAGAAGCACGCTCAGGTGGTAAAAATGCAACATAGAAGTGGCAAAGATTCAGTCGTAATGCTGACACATACTTTACTCATAGTTTAAATCAGCATCAGAGGCCCTGCAACCATCTTTGACTTTTTAAATTGCAGACTGATGCAGAAATATGTGTAAGGAATTAGATGAGTATACGCAACAGCGGGATGAAATAAGAATTGTCTTCCCACACCTTTATGACATGTGAGCTAAACATAAGGTGGAGTGGTACTTTTGCCCTTTTTAAATTTGTGTAGGTTCTCATTTGTTGTTGTGTAAACTGAATAAATATAAAACTGAACCAGGATCAGTAAATGGATGTGTTGAGAATCTGCGTTGTAATTTAGAAAAAAAAATAATAAAAATGGATTATGACAACTTGGCCTCAAGTTCTTCTTTCACTGAGAACATGAAGGTTTCTGCAGCAAAAACAAACTAACTTTATTTATTTTAACAAAATGCTAAACAAGTGAAGAGGTGCAGGTTTTGGGCATTTTTCAATGTAATGTTTGAGAAAAAAGGAAACAATATGGAATATTTACATGGAGGAACCCAGTCGTTTATACATATTTAAATCCAGATAGTTGTCCAAAAAGCTCAATAAGTCCAACATTTTATAATAAAGAATGGATAAAATTGTATATTTTAACTGCAGACTGAGGCGCATATTATTTGTAATTCAGAACTAGAAAAAAAAACTATTTCTAGTTAATGGCAATACACAAAATTAGAAATAAGGAGAAAAAAACCATACAAATTTTATTCATGATTTTAAATGCACCAAGTTATTTCAGACTTTATTACAAAACAATCCATCGTCTGTCTTCATGACTGCAGCCACGGTCCACGCCTGCTCTCTCCTCATCAAAAATGAGAAACGCAGCACCTGTTAATAAAAACATAATACACACTCCATCAGCTGTAACACGTGCACTCATAAAAACGTGCACTCTGACACTCACAGGAAGCCTTTCCCACAGCCCAGAGGTCCGAAGAAGAGTTCTGTTGGGAGGCAAACCTTCCTGCAGACCCCGCTCAAACTGGGACAGGACCACGGAAACGACATGGCCTCATTTTCAACCACTGCAAACAAATTTGTTCTTTTTTAATTTAAAATCTGCTATTTTTCAGATCAGACCTTTCTTATTTGCAGCAGGAAACGTCATCAAAGGTCAAAAACACACAGAGAAAGAGAAACAACGCTCACCTTGCAGCAGTAACAGCACTAAGATGGACAGAACTGCTAAACGATAAGAAAACATGTTTGTTCCTGAAGATGTTGCTCCAAAGTGAAGGTTCCGTCTGGATCTGTGTATTTTAGTCTGAAGGGAGGAGTTGAGTTAACGTGAAGCAGCTGACGGGTCACCGGGTTTTAATTTATAGAATTATGAGCGGCCTGAAAACAACTTCATTAAATTGAGCTAAACAAGGCCACTGTTCCCATCCTGTGACCATGAGCTGTCAGAGGGAACGTGACCAACATGTTCCCCACAAACTCCTTCTTTATCTGATTTAAAACACCTTCACATTCTTCCTCTCCAACACAAGCGCAACTTGTCTACGATGAATGAACATTGACTCGTGAGCTGTCAGAGAAGGAGAACTCATGGCGCTGAACGAAGCAGTCTGCAAAGCACTTTGATTTGAGCTTTTTTATTTTTATTTTTTGCACTACACACGGACCTGTTTAAAAAGAGGCAGAGCTTTAAACCAGTTCAGAATCAGAATCACATTTATTGAACAAGTGCGTAAAAACACAAGAAGTTGGTAATGTTTCTCAGCAGCTTACAAATTCCCCTGTCCTAACAGTGCACTGAGTCTGAAGCTGATTCTTTAAAGTCTTTTGGAGAAGTTTGTTCTAATTCAACATGTAAATGTGAACAAAAAATGGCTCCTGTTGGCTTTGGGACATCCTGAGAGACTTTTTGGGCCAAATGTGAGCTCTGCATGTCCAAATTTCATGAAACTAGATTGCTGTGCTGCCTAGTTAGTGGAGCTGTTGAGCCATTTTACCACACCTATTTTTTAAAACCCTCATTGAATACAAACTCTTATTTTTGAAGTTGTTTCCAAAATTTCATGTTTTGGAGCAACTACTTAAAATGGCACCAGAAACACTGCATTGCTCGGGCCAAGTGAAGAACTGATCCTGAAGAAAAACCTATAAGGTTTCAAATCTGGATAAAATACTCATTTTTCTGCACCATCTTGATAAGAACTAAAAATAAACTACGTTTACAGCTGTGACTGGCATCGGTCAAGGCTCTTTAGTTTCATCAGGGTTACATCAGTGTTTTTCTCTGAAGAGAAGTCATTATTTGGTTTCCCCTGGGCCCTCGTCTCTATTCTCCAGGTGCTGTCCGAAGAGACAGGAGGCCTAATGACTCCGCAGAGGAACCAGAACAAACTAATGACTACTAACCTGCGGCCTGTTTGTAGTTTAACGTTTGTTTTGTTGCCTCTGAGTGTCTCCAGTGGTTTTTCTTGGAAATGAACTAGTTAACTTTGACAAACAATGTTTGGTTTAGTTAAAATGTGCATGTGAGTGTCAATTATACAGCCTAGTTTTTTTATTATTTAACCAGGAAAATCCTGTAAAAGAGATGTTAGCTCTCTTTTAGAGGGAGCCTGGGCCTGAAGGCAGCCTAAACATGAATGAAGGATTTACAGATCCAACCTGGGGCTTGAACCTAGTGCTTTCTTTCTGTGAGGCAATATACTAACCGCTAAGCCACCATGCTGCCCAACATTGCAACTTAAAGAATATAGGCAGAACCTGAAACACATATTGAGTTATTAAAGTTTTACCAGTTGAACAAACTTTCCTCAAAATATTATCGCCACACCTCTCCATTTGAAATTAACACAAAGTGATCGCCACAGATTAAAGGCAAAGTTGTGACATTATTTCCTCATAGCCACAGATCTCAATACACCCAAGAAACAGAAGGAAAATATCATGTGAGATCACGTTGGTGTGTAAAAATTAAGACTAGACATCTGAAAACGCTGAGGCGGAGGAGGATTAGAGCCTGTGTCGTTTATTTATTTATCAAAATTCTGAGATGAATGAATCCCAATTTGTCTTGGAATTCTAAAAAAACAAACAAACAAAAAACTGTCAGTTTCTGTGAAGAAAAAAAAACGATGAATTTTGGCACCAATCCTCTTCCGTAATCTGATGAGCACTCATTTATAAATCATTCTGCATCTCTGGACTTACTGACAGGGAAAGGAAACTACTCTCTATCTTTTATTTCACTTTTTAATGGGTAAAAAAAAAAAAGAAAAACAACAACAAGATGTCAAAGGTTATTTAGATATTGTTTGGTTATATTTTCATTGATAAATTTCTACTGATCTATAACCCCTAGTTGTTTTATTGAACCTGAGATCACCCACTGACATGAAAGATGGACAATAATGTAATTCTCTGTGTCTCTATGTGTTTTTTTGTTTTTTGTGTTAGCAAAATATCTTACCAACTACTTCACAGATGTAAATTAAACTAGAAAACAATAGTTGGATCTACAACTGATTAAATTTTAATCAGTCTGATTCAAGATGGCTGCCACAACTAATCAGACTTAGCAAAAGTAAAATATGTACAATTCAATCAATTTTACAGAGATTGGGTTGGTAGTAGCTGACAGTTCTCCCCAGCATGTACATTACTCAATGCACATGTTGCATGCTTTATTTTATTCATTTATTTATTTATTTTTACGTCGGCACAGACAGTTGCCCTCCATTCTGTCCGTCTGTTCAACACGTTCATGAATCACTGAATAGATCCCAATAAACCTCTCAGAATTTTATCTATGGATGTGAATTTTATAGATATTGGGTGAAAACGTAGTGTGGTAGTAGCTTAGAGTAATCCACCACACACACTCTATGTTAGGGGGTTGCACGACTTCATATTTTTTAAAGTCGACTTCAACGTGATAAAGTCGAGTTGTCGTTGACTAGTCGCTGTGATGTCATAGGAACTCAAGACGATATATCACATTCATAAAAAAATGCCATTTAGTATTAGCTGAACCAGAAGAGTCATCTTTACTGAAATATTTCCACACTGTTGATGAATTCCTACCTGTCTGGGAAGACTTGGCCTGCTCCACACCTTCCGTCTGCTTGAACGAATCCATTCTGTCGCCAGCGCCCGGCGCTGATCACGTGACACAATCACATGACTGCGACTAGTCGAGGTGAAATTAAAAAACTTGTGAGATATCGACTAGTCAACCCCTACTCTGCGTGTTAACAAATTGTCAGTGATCTTTGTTTAAAACTTTGGCGTGCAAGGCAGCGGGTGATGTGCATTCCTTCAAGGATTGCTGGGCCTTTAATAGTGTGCATGAAATTCCCACCACTGAGATCCTGTTTGTTCCTCCGGTGCCGATTTTAGCCACTGAACTACTCCTGCATACCTCATGCTATTTCAACCATTCAAACTTCAAATTAAAAGCATTCAGGAGATGAAAACTGACTTTTGTTTTTTGTAACATTTATGTATTTTGAATTATTAAGCTTTAATTAAGCTTCATTAGGATCCATTGGTAAATTTTCCAGTAGCTTGGGTTTAGTCCAACACTGCCCCCACGTGTCAACTTTATAATGGAAGAAAACTCTCCAATTAACAGTCACCATAAGTCCAGACAACCCATACACTCTTTTAATACCATGCTAAGTTGTTATTTCTTGTCCAGTATTCACACTTTTGACCACTCACATCCTTCTGCTTCTGGTGATTGTGAACTGGACTGACTCAATCAACGTGATCAGTAACTCTCGTGTGTCATCTTTCAGTAACTACACAACCAGCAAACCTTGCCCTGCTCACAGCGAGTGCTTGGTACAGTGGTTACTTACTCCCCACAGCGAGCAAACATGCACAAGGATTTGGCAACTGTTTTACGCTGTCTTTTTTCATTCAACCTTTATTGAGACAGGTAAATCCCATTGAGCCTCGAGGACTCATTTACAAGAGAGACCTGATTTCAACAAAGAATGATGACAACAATGGACAACAGCAACAATAACAAACAGTCACAAAAAGTCATACAGATTATTATTATTATTTTTTTTACAAATAGGATGGCTAAAAAAATGAAGAGTAACAAAAAACAGCTAGATTCTAAGGCGAATGTAGAAACCTAAAAACAGGAACATGTCAGCATTGGTCCCTGCCAGGAGTCCAACAGATTCTTAAAGCCACTTAGAGAGGTCAAGGTCGAGAGCTTCAGATCTTTTTGTAAGATATTCCAGGAAACAGGAGCGGAGCAGGAGAAGGCCCTTTTGCCAAGTTCAATCCTCACTGAGGGAACACTGCAGGTAATAATGTCCTGAGAGCGCACGCCATAGCTGCACTCACGCAGAGACATGTAGGAGGAGATGTATGAAGGCAGCAGACCAAGAAGTGATTTAAAAATGAAAATGTACCAGTGAGAGAGTCTGCGTGAAGTTAATGATGTCCAGTTAACCAGTGAATACAGGGTGCAGTGATGGGTACGATAATCACAGCCAGTTATGAATCTTTGTGCACCATGATAGACAGCATCCAACATCTGCAGGGTTCTTGTAGGAGCGTTCATGTAAATAATGTCAGCGTAATCAATGGAGGGACGGAAAGTCACAGATACAAGGTGTTTTCTAGCATTCAGGGTTAGACAGGATCTGTTTCTGAAAAAGAAACCCAGTTTCAGTTTCTTTATCAAGTTTTCCACATGGAGCTTAAAAGAGAGATGTGAGTCGACCAAGATACCCAAATATTTATAGGAATCAACAAACTCAATGGGGACATCATTTGAGGATAAAATATGAGGAAGAACTGCTGGGACCAACTTCCTATTTGAAAAAAGCATCCCTTTGGTTTTGTTGGCATTTAGGACAAGTTTGAGGTGGAACAAATCAGTCTGGATGTAGTTGAATGCAGATTTCAAAATCTGGAAAGCCTTAGCAACAGTTTTAGCTCGACAATAAACAACTGTCGTCAGCATAGAAATGTATGGATGCATTAGGGATGTTTTTACCTACATTATGTATGTAGATTGTAAAGAGGGTGGGTCCTAAGACTGAGCCTTGTGGCACACCATTGTTGACTGTTAAATAACTGGAGGAAGTACCATTATGTTGAACACATTGCCTCCGGTCTGAAAGATAGTTAGAGAACCAACCAATGGTGTGTTCTGAGAAACCAATTTCTGAGAGTTTATGACACAAGATGTTATGATCCACAGTGTCAAAAGCTTTAGACGGGTCTAAGAAAAGCGCAGCACAATAATCCTTAGCATCCAGTGCTTCAACAACGTCATTAAGAACCTTCAGTGAAGCAGTGGTTGTGCTGTGTTGTTTCCTGAAACCAGATTGATGTGGAGGTAAGATGTTAAATGAGTCCAGGTAATTTTTGATTTGAGAGTTTATCAGTTTTTCTAGAACCTTTGCTAAAATGCAGAGTTTAGAGATTGGTCGATAGTTGTTCAATGAGGTGGGGTCACCTCCCTTCAGCAACGGAAGAACAAAGGCTGTTTTCCAAGTGTCTGGAATGGAATTTTGTCTTATGGAGAGATTGAAGATGTGAGTCACAGGGACTGTGATGATATGAATGGCCAGCCATAAGAAATAAGGTGGGATCTACCCAAAAGAACCACACTCAGGACGCAGGAGAATTTTTTTTAACTGGCATTTTACTCGCAAAGTCAGATTTCAGGAGAGGCTACATAAATATGCATACGTCACAGACATAGATGTATACGCATGAAGACGAAGGCCACGAGCGGCGTTATCTGCTCGTTTTTATACTCGTCTCAGCTCAGCCAAGTTCACAGAGTTCAGGGGGAGTCCTTGAAGCCAGCTGCAGCCTTCTTGCACAAACATATGGTTCATGGGCAGAGATAAGATGGTGTTTTGGGGTTCTTTTTCGCAGGGCAGAGGGGAAAAATGTTCTCTGCCATCCATCCATACATTATCTTCAGCTTGTTTCGAAGTCAGGTCACGGGGGCAGCAGCTTGAGCAGGGAGGTCCAGACATCTCTTTCCACAGCCACCTCTTCCAGATCTTCTAAGAGGTGTTCCCAGTCCAACCGAGAGACATAGTCTCTCCAGCGTGTTCTGGGTCTTTCTCGAGGTCTCCTCCCAGTCGAAACACCTCTCTAAGGAGGTGCCCAGGAAGCATCCTTACCAGATGCCCGAACCACCTCAACTATCAATGTATGGAGGAGCAGCGGTTCTACTTCGAGTTTCTCCTGATAACTGAACTTCTCACCTTATCTCTAAGGGAGAGTCCATCCACACTGTGGAGGAAACTCATTTCAACCACCTGTATCCACAATCGCATTCTTCTAGTCACTATCCAGAGTTCGTGGCCATAGGTGAGGGTAGGAATGTAGACCAATCAGTAAACAGAGAGCTTTGCCTTACAGCTCAGCTCTCTGTTCACCACAACGGACCAGCACAGAGTCTGCAATACTGCAGGTGCTGCACCAATCCGTCTGTCAGTCTCACGCTCCATTCTTCCCTCACTCATGAACAAACCCCCGGGATACTTGAACTCCTCCACTTGACCTGAAGAGAGTCATGTTCTCAGCCATAGTAATAAAAGCATCCATAAACTTTGCCCCAAAATTCCCTGACACTACTATTCAGTATTATCTTTTCACTGCATATTGTTTTGTGTGCAGCACTTTGATCAACGGCAGATGTTTTCAATGCAATATTTGAGTAAATACAATTTTATAAGGGGCTTCAAGCAAAGAGCATATTTGCTTTCGTGCACACTAGTTTTTTCGTATAGGAAGAACTTCTTATAGTTTTACTTATTTTTCACTTGTGTGCCTCGGAGGCTCTGACCATTTGCACACATCTGTAAAATTATTGGTGCACAGGTGAAAGCACATGACCTGCTTTTTTACAGAGGAGAGGAAATAAAGGCTGATGTCAGGATCCTGCTCGGTGCAGTTAAATGCCAGTAAACTCATGTCACACAGCATGAACTTCTCACTCGTATCATCATTTTATCTGTCTGAATATTATAGGCTGGAGGAACTGAAGCCAGTGTATTTCTGCATTTTTCTCATCTTGTACCTCACAGTCATAGCAGAGAATGTGATGCTGATTGAAGTGGTTTATTTTGAAAAAGCCCTGCACGAGCCCATGTACGTGCTCCTGTGCAACCTGGCTGCGAACGAGCTGATGGGAAGCATCGGCGTTATGCCGGCGCTGCTGACCAACATTCTGTCTCACACACATGAGATATCCGTGTCGTTCTGTCAGGCGCAGGTCTTTGTCATTCACACGTACGCCGTCACTGAATTCACCATTCTGGCAGTGATGAGCTACGACAGGTATCTGGCCATTTGTTATCCCCTCACCTATCACACCATTATGCCCCAGAGGATAGTGAAGCTTATTGTGTTCATGTGGCTTTACCCTGTGCTGGCTCTGGGCATGGTCTTTATTTACACCTTCCAGCTGCCATTCTGTGGGAGAATCATAGAAAACCTGTACTGCATGAACTACCTGCTTGTAAAGCTGGCGTGCATCGACACATTTATAGCTAACGTCATCGGTTTATTGTCTGTAGCTTTGTATATAGTTCCACAGCTCATCATGATCTTTTACTCATATGCGCACATCTTGAAAATATGCATACTGTCGTTCAGCAAAACCAAGTCCAAAGCTCTGCGGACGTGCACCCCGCACCTGTTAGTGATATTTAACTACTCCATCGGGTGCTTCTTTGAAATAGCAAGAGGTCGATTTGACAACAGATACATGGCCTACCACGCCAAGCTGTTCGTGTCCTTGTACTTTTTCATCGTCTCGCCTCTCTTGAATCCAGTGATATACGGTCTGAGCACGCAGATCATAAGAATACGACTCTTCGGGCTGTTCCGCAGAAAGAAAGGGGCAGGTTCAGTTGATGCAGTCAGGAAAGGTGATGCTGTGAACTGAATGGGTTCCCTGGGTGGAGCCGTGAAGCCTCCTGAAAAACACCAACATGCTGAATCTCATGTTTGTTTTTTTAAGCCCATCTGACTTCTCGTTCACTTAAGATTCACACATTTCAGTTTGCTGCCCCGTCGACCTGGACTCAACGTCGTCTTTGTTTCATTAAATAGATTTAAGAGCATTTTAAAATGTTAGAGAATTAAACATCAAGTTGTAATTATTTTACCTGATGTGAATAGATATTCTCTGGTCATGTAAAGATGCAACCTATTTTAATAAGCTATTAAATGGTTTATTTAAATGTTACTTGGTATTATTAATGTTGTCTTATTAAGTGTTTTATCTGACATAAATAGATATTCTCTGATCATTTAAAGATGCACCCTACTTTAAGGAAAAAATTTTTTTATATATATATATATATATATATATATATATATATATATATATATATGTTGACTGTTATAGTTTGTTTTTATGAAACTTTGTGTTTTGTTGCCAGTTTTGGCCAGGATGCTCTTATAAAAAAAGATTTTTAATATCATTGAGTTTTTCCTGGTAAAATAAAGGACTGGAAAATAAAATAAAATAAAATAAAAAGGGCAGAACTGGAAAATGGGAAAGATAGACGTCATTATTACACCTTACTTGAATAAATAAAACAGTTTGTGAAACTGCTTTTTACTTTTTAGATGCAAAGTCTTTAAAATAAATGAGAAAATGCAAAAATGACTTAAACATTTGGCATCCCCCTTTTTTTTCCTCTAGTACTTGATACTTCGGCAGCTCAAAACAGTTTGTGTTTTTAAGAGCCTGCAGTGGAATCTAATATAACATGTGCATGTTATACTTTATGAAATTAGGTTTTGTATTATTTGTCAGATTGTTGTTAAATGTTATTAGCAGGGATTATTCGCAGAACTGCTGGAACTTTATTCATATGAAAGCAAGCAGATGTTTATTGTGAAAAATAAACTTAATAAAAAGTGCAAAGGGCTCTTTTTTTATATTAATAAATTGATATAAAAAGTAAGAAATCCATGTTTTTTCTGTTACAGCGCAGCAAAAGTTTCAACCAAACTAATGTTTTCTTTAAATAATTCTATCATTTCTTTTGAATACTAAGTCTGGTTTTTAGAGGAAAATATCTGGGTCATTTAGGAGGTATTGTGTTGTGCTAAAAGTTTGTGGTTTTAGCTGAGACTTATTCAAAACACATATTGTAAGTCAGGGGTGGGCAACAGGCTTTTCTTGTTGCAGCAGTTTGCATGCTTGAAATAAAAAAGAAGAAAAACCATCTCCCTAGACATCCTGTAAACTGGCTCTTGTGACAACATATTTGTTAGTTTTAATATGCAAATAAGAAAAAGATAAATAACCCGTGTGTTTGCTTTTCATAGTTTTTCAGTCTAGTTCTGGAAAAGCAACTTACAAAAAAGTTTTAACCTGTCTTCTATCTTAAACCAAAGATTTTCCGAGTATTTGTCCAAGATGTTCATTTTGACTTCCGTTATTTTAATTGATAAAATGCAGGTTTTCATCAACTTATTTATTTTCAATTCAATATATTGGAGGCCGGATGGAGGTTGCCCAAGGGCCACTATTGGCCCTCAAGCCATACATTGCCCACATATAAGGTAAGTGCTAGTCCTTGTGTGAGATATTTGCTTAAAACTTCAGCATTACCTGTTTGAGTCAACCCTGGTTGTCTGTTAGTAAAATATCTCATGAACCACTGAACAGATTTTAATGTATTTTTCAGAAAATATTTACTGGATGTACATCTACAACTGAGATTTAAGAGTCGATCCAATTCAAGACGGCCACTACATCTAATCAACGTTAGTCAGCACAAAAAAGTTCTAACTCAAAGTATTTTACAAATATTGAGCCAAAATTTAATCCAGTAGTAGCTGAGAGTAATTCTCTACATATGAGTGCTAATAAATCTTGCAAAATTAAATTCTATTCAGTTTAATTATATAGCGCCAAGTCACAACAGAAGTCATCTCAGGGTGCCGAACAGAAACATTCATATATGAAATAATAATTTAAAACTATCTATCGGAGGAGCAGACTGCTTTAAGTTTAATTTCATCGCAGACTCTCATCTTGAGCAAGCACAAAGGCGACAGTGGAAAGAAAAAACTCCCTCATGAGGAAGAAACCTCCAGCTGAAACAGGCTCAGGACAAGCAGCCATCTGGTTTGACAGCTGGTTTTGAGAGGAACAGATATACAATGGCAGGTCAAGAATCACATGTAAAGATAAAACTAATATCAACTGAAAACTATTCATTTGTAATTATTCATTTAAAGGAAATATATAAATGGTAAAATGCATTGGTCTAAGCACCGAACCCTGAGGAACTCCATGACTAACTTTGGTGTATGAAAATTCATTTTTTTACATTTACAAATTGCAATATTGCTTGAGAATGTGGATATTATAATTTACAAGTTTTGACCAAAACATTTAACCTTTAATCATGAGACGATTGTAGCTTAAAACTAAGGTGGGCGATATGCATTCCTTCAATGAAGGCTAGGCTTTTAATTAGCATCTGACACCAACAGAAGTAGAACTGGATCCTGCTGTGTTGCACCCTTGTTTCCAACATTAGTGTTTTTTATAGACTTGCAGACCTAGCACAAGTTTAAGCTTTCCGTCGTCTGTTTGTGGTTAATTCAAACATTTACCTGAGAGGTCAGACTGGACGCTCCGATTGTTTCGTTATGTTCAACCAGCTGCTGAACGACATCCTGATTGTAAAAAGCTTCAAGGGCAAGAGCCTAAACCGTTTTAGAAGCGAAAACAACGAGTCCTGTTTATGCCTGTACCATACTTTATTAAAAAAAATATGTAGCTACAATATGGCACAGGTGTGCAACATGAGTGAGTTTCAAAATGACGTGGTAATTTAGTCTTACAAAGCATGCTTCTCTGTTAAACACTTAATAAATATGGTTATTTTTTTATGGTAAACACATAAAATAATAAAACTCACATTTTCTGGGTCAGTGTTAATACTGAAAAATACACCGTGCTGGTTATGTGCGCATGGGTTTGTGGGTGGATTGGGACTGGGAGAGGTAACACCAGTAGTCTCTGAAACAAATGAACTTTGAAATACAAAACTGCTCTGCGAACAATCAGGGAGACGGCATGCATACAAAAATAGACAACTATTCTTATCATCCCTTTGTTATTTACATTAATTCATTATTGCCAAGCGTTATTTTTGCATCCCTGCTTTGAGGAATCCCTCGCTTCCCTAATCTTCTCGTCTGTCTGAAAAAAGGTACGATGTACATTCACTATCACTGAGGCACAGCACTTGATGTACAGTTTATATAGGTACCAAAAACATCATGTAATCACCGCTGCAGGAATGAATATTAAATATACAACATACTGTATATGTTTAACACCCTGTGCACACACTCAGGAATCAAACATACGTGCAGAATGAACCGCCGAGAGACAAAAACGCTTATTATGAGCGGGTAAACCCGACTCCAGCATGATGTGGAAAACAAGTCAACAGAACAAAGATGATTTCAAAATCTCTCAGACGTCGACACAAAGTGCTTCTTTACTCAAAGAAAAGATCCTGTGAACCTTTAAGTTACTTTGTCCAGATTTTGTTTTGAGTCACACTCTTAAAACAACAGTTTGCATCTTTTAAAGTGGAGTTCTGTGGAATGGTTATGAACAATTTATGTCTTACCAGTTGCAGAAAGCTATTTGAATGACCTCAGTTTGGAGACAGAGCTTAATTCTGACCAGACTGAGCTGATGGAGTAAAGTGGATTGATGTTGTCTTAAAACACTTTCAATCCCACAGTATTCATTCATCCAACCTTTATTTATACAGGTCAGTCTCGTTGAGCCACGAGGACTCATTTACAAGAGAGACATGTTTCAAACAAAGAACACAGATGATACTGGTTCATTATAAACCTTTACATCAATATCAGTTTCGTATTATATTATTTACATAACTAATGGGTATTAGCGAGCACAAAGAGTGACAGAAGCACTTCATTCTAATCAGAACTTAACTATTTCTACAAATTGAGATAATTGAGGTAGTTATTCATAACCTTTTCGCAGAATGCCAGTTCTAAAGATCAGAACAATCCCTTTGAGGGAGAGGTTGGGAGAAATCAGTTTCCTTGCTGTTGAAAAGGAGTTTTAAAATGAAAAGGAATGGATAACTGAGCAAGTAAAAGCTGGTTTTTGGTGCCTTTTGTCTCCAGCAGGGTGGAATGTTGACAGCATGAGGCACAAGCCGAAGTAAAGTAATGCTTTGGAGGTGATCTTCAACAGACTACCCTAGAAACCCCAACGACCGATTCGTGCCTTGAAGAGGAACATTCTGTAGGAAAATAAACGGACTAATTATTAATCAGCAAACTCCACATGTAAACTGAAGGCCTGAACATGGAGCCATACCTTCAGTGAGCTCTGAAGGACCCGCAGGCGGTGAAGCTTATCATTCAGAAGCGGGTCGTTAACTCTGCGGACAAAGGAGCGCTTGTACTCCAGGCGGCTGGCTGATCTGTGGTCAGCGGAGGTTGAAAGATTGGTCTGCTCCAGAGCTCGGTACAGATCCACCAGAGAGTCAGTCTGCAGCCTGCAGTCCCGTCCATGACCTAGAAAGATAAAGAAAAACTTACGTCACACTAATTATGAGTGAATCATCTGACCAACGACTGTTCCATCTAAATTAAAGCTGGCCGCCCAGTGAATCATTCTGAGACCAACAATGAAGCCATTTGGGAAATCTGAGCCTACTTAGATCTTGTGTTATTTGTCTTTTTTTTTTTTAATTCCTAATTTTATGATGTCAGGAGAAGTTGAGGCCAAAAATAATACAAATCTTGTGTTACAGGTGCATCCCAAAAAACTACGAAGTAGAATATTGTGAAAAAGTTTTATATTTTGTAAATCACTTCATAAAGTGAAACTCGTATAGCATATGGATTCATTGCACATAGAGTGAAATATTTCAAGGCTTTATTTCTTGTAATTTTGATGATTATGTCTTACAAATAATAAAAAGCCAAAATTCAGTGTTTCAGAAAATATTCCAGTCAGGGCAGGAGACAAGTCCTGCTGGAAAATGAAACCAGCATCTCCATGAAGCTCGTCAGCAGAAGGAAGCATGAAGTCTCTAAATGTCCTGCTAGATGCTGCGTTGACTGTGGACTTCAGAAAACACAGTGGACCAACACCAGCAGAGCCAAACCATCACTGACTGTGGAAACCCTCTGGACTTCAAGTATTGTGGATTCTGGGCTTCTCCACTCTTCCTCCAGACTCTGAGAACTTGATCTCCAAATGACTTGAAATTGTACTTTCATCTGAAAAGAGGACGTTGGACCACTGAGCAACAGTCCAGTTCTTTTTCTCAGCCAGGTAAGACGCTGACGTTGTCTCTGGTTCAGGAGTGGTTGGACTTGCGTAATGAGACATTTGTAGCTCATGTCCAGGAGTTAATCAGCTGATCAGGGGGAGACACCGCCAAAAAATAAAGACTTGAAATATTTCTCTCTATGTGTAATTCATCTATATAACAGAATGAGTTTGAGTTTCCTTTTCTGAAGTGACTAACAAAACAAAAAAAATCACTTTCACAATATTCTAATTTTTTGAGATGCACCTGTAAATGTGCTTTATAAATAAAGTTTGAATTGAACTTGAGTTGGTATAAAACTGTAGTTTTTCGTTGCCTTTGCGTTCATTATTACGTTTATTTATTTGGTTAAGATTGCAAACAATCAATTTGTCTGTCTATACCCACATGTGCTGTAGGGATATTTTAGTCCTATGAACCTAACAGTGTAAATTGTTCTAGTGTTTTTTAATCTGTGACCTTATGTTTTAAATGCTTTTTATTAATTCTTCAGTTATTATCATTATTAGTGTATTGTATATATATGTTTATATATTTTTCTCTTTAATTTACTCATTGATTGTTGTTGTTGTTAAGCACTTTGATAACAGGTTCTGTTTTAAATGTGCTCTATAAATAAAGTTGACTTGACTTGACTTAATAAACTACATGGACTCCACACTTCCCCCTACTGGTTCCACACAAACACCTCACTCCAGTTTGTTCTCACTTTGTTTTGGATTTTGCGAGTAAAGAGGTCCATTCTGAACTTATGGCTGTGCTATGAATCACGTTTTAATTTCTCCATCATCTTTATCAGAAACGTTGCCAAGAACGAACGGCAGAGCGATAGATAAATGAGGACTAGAAGCGAGGACCTCCCGAGCGAGTTTAAGGAATTAAATATTAACAGAGATTGAAAGGATTGCTCGTCTCTTCTGCTACCGAGAGGCATCATGACGTCTGGCTTGGGTTTGAGAGGAAGCAAAAAATAAAAAAGGAGTGAGCATGAACGCTTGTGAGAGAGGAGCAGAGTGAAAGGATGAGATTAATCAGGATCAAAAAAGGCACATGATTTGATCCCAGTTAGACAACTGCCTTGAAGGTCCAGGAGGGATGGCAGATAGGTTGGCTTAAAATCCAATCCTGTAAAGTACTGGGGAGAATTACTGGTAAACGTCTGACATTTGCTGTCTCCAGCTGCTCGTTTGGGGTGTCAGTAAAATACCTCATGGCAGGGACTGTTGCTCAGTCTCGTGCAGCTGAAACGCGTCACTGCACATAAATCTGTTTACAAATCAAACACATTTAAGATGATTTCTAGATTCGGAGTCAACGACCTGCTCTAATGATCTACTGCAAAACACCTGAGCTCCAGAAGCCCTGTCCAGAGTAGCTCAGATTTCTACACCAAATCCGGAGCAAAGTTGGTAGTTTGAATCCCATTTCACCATAAAATTATTAAGAATATTATTGAAGTCGTTTTTACATTTTCAACTAGAGACGTCAAGGTTAACAATTACTGCTGAATGACTGAAATTTGTTGAAGAAGCTAAAACTAATCAGTTAAAAAGAGCCGCGAGGAGCACACAGCCAGGTAAAAGCTGAATGTAGCAACATGCTAGGTTAAAGTAGCAAAACACCAACTAATTACTAAAAGTAGCAACATTATAGCTAAAAGCCAAAGGGAGCAATAAACAAGCTAAAAGCTACAAAGGATTAGAAAAAGGCCTAAAGTAGCACAAGGCTAAATTCATTCAGCCTTTTTTGAAACAGGTTATTCTCGTTGAGTCTCGAGGACAAGAGTCCTGATTTTAACAAACGATGATGACAACAGCAGACAATCAAAACAAAGCATTTAAGTTGTGAAAAAAAGATAATTATATTAAAAAATGAAACAAAAACAGCGACACTGTAAAGAGATGTAGAATACTAAAAACAGGAACATGTCTGCAAAGACTAGCTAAAGTAGCAAAAGGCTAGTTAAAAGCTAAAGTAGTAAAATGTTATCTAAAAGCTATTTCAATATATTTTATACCAGATTATTTATTTTTATTTATAATAATGCCTAACCTTTAATTACTATGACACTATACATAATACATTACATAAAAATCAATATTTTATCAAGATTCTGTGGTTTTTGGTGTTGAACTCGTGTGCAGGCAGACCATGGAGGCGCAGAAATAGAATAAAGAATTAATTTATTTACAAAAACAAAACTTACTTCTTCAAGGAGACATAGAGGGGAACAGAACATGACATCATAACGGACCATCCACGGACAAATGAGGAGACACAAAGACGCAGAATATAAAGCAACAATGAAGAACACCTGGGGTGATTGGAACAGGGAACAGGTGTGACGGGAGCTGGCAACATGAGGCAGAGCACACAAAAACACAAGGATCACAAAACACAGATCCTCTCATATTTCTGTCTGAGGAAACAAACCATGTATGTATTGTATTACCTGTATACAATACATTACAATACATATATTGTAATTTTTTTCCACTGCTGAAAGTTTTTAGGATCGTTTAATGAGATCCATTAAAAAAAGAAAACCATACCTCACTAAAACCTTTAAATTGTTTGTTTTTATGACCTTTAGTCCAAAGCCTGCTTAATGTTAAATTGATAGTAAGATCAGAAGGGCAACAAAATGTTTATTGTTGTTGTTGTTTTACCTGTCCAATAAGTTTCAGAGGATTTATCCCCGCAGGGTTTTCACTAATCTTACCAATAAACAAATTCTTGTTTTATCAGAGGAATGAAATGCATTTTATCAAATTATGGAACATGTTTTGTATTTTTGCTTCTCCTGTAATGTAGTAATAAAACTATCATTTTGTGAGTATACATTCAAGTGAACCAGGACCCTGACCTGTGCCTCTGGTCTGGTCTGGGTGGTAGTGCTGGGGCTCTCTCTGATCCGATGCAGGAGCGGTGGCGGTCAGGATGGCATGAAGCCCGCTGTCCCTGGGAAGTGTGAAGCTGCGAGGTTTTCCTCCTGCGTCTGAGTCGATGCTGGCCCTGAGGGGCAGCGGCAGAGCTCGGTACTGCTCCTGCAGCAGGCTGCGCTGCGCAGGCAGAGTGGACTGCCTGCGGTACTCCATCTCCAGCTGATTTCTGTCCTCAGGCTGCATGGGATCTTCCACCGGAAACGTCTGCAGGTAGTGCATCCTGGTGTTGCTCTCCATCTGGTCGTGCCACGAGTTTCGGTGGCTGCTCGACTTCTGCCCCGGCGAGATGCTGTTCGTGCTGCTGCTTTCCTGAGGCTCCGAGTGGTACTCCTCGTGCGAGGAACGAGACTGGAATGTGTCAGAAGAGGAGAGGTGGCTGCGTTTTGGCTCCAAGTAGGGACTCACCTAAACACAAACAGATCATTGGGCGAAGAACTCAGTAGTTAGATGCATGGGGTGGTATTTGCTACATTTTTTTTTTAAACCAGCTGTGCAAACTCACAGAAGATGCTCTGGGATATGTGTCATAAGGAGGAGGTGGACTGTCTCGTTTGGGGACTGGGGGCGCCTCCATGTCCTCATGATCACTCTCGCTCCAGTAATCTGAAAAGAAACAACATTACTTACAGCTATAATTAAAACCAAGTTGTTCCATGAAGTAATATACGTCATTAATACGCATTTTACTGTTTGGGTGGGTCAGGAAAGTTAAACTCCCAATAAGTGATTGTGAGGAGGGATACATCTAAGGTGTGAAAACTTCATGCAGAGTCATCTGGAGGTGGATTGGATCTAAAATAGAAGCTTGGCTGCAAAGGAAAAAAGCCCCCCCCCCCCCCCCCCCCTTCATAAACCTGTGACAAACCGGCACTCGCACACCCACCATGGAAGGGTTTTCATGTAGGCAGAAGGGTTAGCTCCATTACTTCCTGTTCGTTTGTAGGAACATAAACATATAAAAATAACACAAATACCATTCCACCTCAGCATGAAGGGACGTGGGGAACGTGAAATGCATCCGTTGCTGGCCTGAAAATAACATATTTTTACTGGATTCCCTAAATCAGGTCTAGTTTTCCTCAAATTAGTGCACAAAAAATGTTTGTGAATGAAGTAGTTTGTTTTTCTAAAATTGTGTCTCATCTGGTTAAAGCTGGAAAAAAAGAAAAGTAAGTCAGAAAAGTTAAGGTCTAGCATATTCCTTAAAGGAATGCATATCACCCACCACCTTTCAAGATACAGTTTAAACCAGATGTGGGCCACTTTTGTTGTTGTGTTTCCAGAACAAGTCTGAAACATAAAGACCACAAAAACCAAACACACACACACACACACACACACACACACACACAAACACACACACACACACACACACATATATATTATTTATATACAAAGTATATATATATATACCATACCAATTTATTTATAGAGCACTTAAAACAGCAACAAGGCCAACCAAAGTGCTGTACAATAGAAACAAACAAGCACATATATACATATGTGTGTGTGTCTGTTTTTCAAATTTATACTAATATATTGTCACAAGACCCACTTTACAAAAAGTATGTCTAACTAGACCTGTCACGATAAACAATAAACCAATTAATCGGACGATAAATCAAAATCATCTACTTCATTTTCATTTATCAGCTTAATTGTTTCTTCGTGTCTCTCTTTCTACTGAAGACACTGGATGACAAAAGGCTCAACTCCGGGGCTCTTCACTGACCCCTCCCTTTCTCATTTTTCTTTTTACTTTAAAATCTGTTTTAACCGTCCAAAACTGTGTTTTTGGAACGTTAAAAGCAGCTAAGCTACGAAGCTAAGCTACAAGCTAAGCTAACAGTCCGACCTCGGGGGGAAAAATCCTCCACCATATCGAAGCTCCAAAATTCACGGTTGAAACCCGTGCCTTTGTGTAAGAAGTTGTTTTTCTTTGCAAAAAGAAGCTGAGAACTTGTTTACTGATTTTTTTTTATTAAAAGCTTTGTGTGAAAAATGCTATGCTAAAGAGCTCAAACCACACAAAGTGTCCGCCATTTTGAAAAATGAAACAAAAGGAAAGAGAGACAGCCCATGTTATGTCAAAGGGCCTCCCTCCCATTTTTCTTAAGGAGACACACTGCTCGCTCCTTTACTATCCATCCTCTGGTTCAAACGATCTTATACTCCCATCTGGTGGCCAAAACGGTACTACACACAAAATAAATTAACTAACATTTCTTCTTAAATTTGACAATAATAATTTAGTAATTATTGTCAAATTTCAAACAATATTATCGTTTTTCGCAATAATTTTTGAGACAATCGCCCAGCAAAATTTGTTATCATGACAGGCCTATGTCTAACATTGCTAAAGAGTATTGGAGAGATTCATTCATTCATTCCACCTTAATTTAAACAGATAAATAACATTGAGCCTAAAAGACTCATTTACAAGTGAGGCCTATTTGGACAGACAAAAAAGTGGTGAAATGGACACATGTAGGAGTTGGAGGCAAAAAAATTCCTATCAGACTTTTTTTTTTCCTGCCTGAGAAAAAAAACCCCTCTAATATTAAAAAAAAAAAACAAGCACATAGTGACATAGGCATTCTGCAGGGGGGGGAGCGGCGAGCACGTTCATAGATGCTCTCGAGGTCACTGTAAGTTATATTTATCAAGCATGCTAACTATGCTACAACAAGAAAAGCCTTAAAGTTCAGTTTATTTATATAGTGCCAAGTCACAACAGAAGTTATCTCAGAGCACTGAACAAATACATTTGCATACATAAAAACTACAGTAGTATTATTTATCAAATGTAGGGTAGCCAGCAGATTGTGTTGAGTCTTTTGGATTATCCATCTTAAAGAAAATGTATTCTCCAATTCTCCATGCAGCCCTTCGATTGCTTTATATCTTGATTTAGCCCTTTGGAAAAAATGTTGCTCCCCCCTGATTTAGACTAAAATGCTCTTTTGCTGAAAATAATAGAAGCCATTTTGATCAAGCCATGGAAGCATCGTTGTTATGCGTGATCTCATGTGATATCATGAGACTTCCCACTCAGAGTATGTGTTGTTAATGACTCTCAGCTACAACAAAAAAGGTTGAATCATGTCATCTGGACTTCGTTTTTTTGTTAAAAAGAAACGTTTCGCCCCTCATCCAAGAGGCTTCGTCAGTCTGAGGCCTAGCCATCTGGTATTACCCAGAAGCCACCCTGACTCTTGTGTTTCAAGCCTGCCTCAGATACCCCTGAAGTCTGGCCTTTTCACTAATGGTTTCAAAAACACAAAGTTTGTTTTCTCAGTCATCCAGGTATATAACAACAAAAAAGGTTGAATCATGTCATCTGGACTTCGTTTTTTTTGTTAAAAAGAAACGTTTCGCCCCTCATCCAAGAGGCTTCGTCAGTCTGAGGCCTAGCCATCTGGTATTACCCAGAAGCCACCCTGT